TTTATAAATATGTTAAATAGAAGCGATCCCAACACAGAACCCTGAGGGACATCACTTACCACTTTTGTCCAGCTTGAAATTTTACCATTAATGACAACTCTTTGTACTCTATCCTTAAGCCAATGTTCTACCCAAGAACAAGAATATTGTCACGACTGCTAGTGTAGTCCAACACGCAGAAACTATGTAAACATATACATAGAAAATTAAAAGGAAATAAAAGGACAGAACGTAAACCGGTCCTTAGAATGGCCGGACTAATACGTAGACAGAGAATGGTCAAAGGGAAAGCCAAGGTCAAGGAAGCCAGAAATACACAAATACCGTTTAAACAAGCCAAATCAGGGAAACCAGAAATAGGATAAACAAGGAATAGCCAAGGTCAAAATACCAGAATATCAGAATCACAAGGATAAACGCACTCTCGGGAACCAGGAACAGGAAACCACGACAGGGCAAGGTACTGGGGTGAATCAGGGATTTAAATATCCCTCGCTAGGCTCTTACTGGTCAGAGGGACGTCACACACACACGCACATTCGTATAATTATGGGGGGCGGAGCCATTGATGGACGCGACCGCATGGTCGGCGCTAACTTGGATTCGCCGGGACAGAGTGGAGGAGCGGTTCCCGGCTCACCGCCGAGCAGGTAAGCTCAGCTATGTGGCGCGGTCGTGCTGGTCGGACACAGACGCGCATTGCGGTGAGCCGGGAGCCGTAACAGTACCTCCCGCTCAAAGACCGCTCACCAGGCGGGAAGGAGCCGGCTTGTGAGGAAAACAGTTGTGAAACGACCGGACAAGACGGGGAGCATGAACCCGGTCAGCAGGAACCCAACTACATTCCTCCGGGCCATATCCTTCCAGTCAACCAGATAGGACAGAACACCTCTAGAGAACTTGGAGTCTAATATAGATCGGACTTCGTACTCATCTTGATCACCTACGACCAAGGGCGGAGGAGGAACAACCATTTTTGTGTATTGATTGCAAGTGAGGTGTTTAGGCAATGACACATGGAAAGAATTAGTAATCCTCATATGCGCAGGGAGTGCCAAGGAATAAGTCACAGGGTTTATATGACGTAGGACACAAAAGGGACCCTTTGTATCGAGGAGCAAGTTTTATGGAAGGAACCTTGAGTTTGACATGACGTGTGGATAACCAAACTCTGTCCCCTGCTTGATAGACAGGATTGGCACCCCGTCTCCTGTTAGCTTGGATTTTAGCACGTTTTGAGGCATTCTGTAGTGCCAAATGAACAGAATCCCAAGTGTCATGGAGAGACGTTAAACAGGCATTCAAAGCTGGAATATCAGTATCTGAAAATTCAGAAGGTAAAACAGTGGGGTGATAACCTTGATTTACACAAAATGCACTATGATTGGAAGATTCATGAGTCGCCTTATTTCTGGTAAATTCAGCCATGGGTAAGAGTTTGTACCAGTTGGACTGATTGGCATTGATAAAGCAACGTAATTAGGATTCTAAAGATTGATTGTCTCTCTCTGCTGCGCCATTAGTCTGAGGGTGGTACGAAGAGGAAAATGAAAGTTCTATACCCAGTTGTTTACAGAAGGCACACCAGAACCTAGAGATAAATTGGGTACCTCTGTCAGAAACAATGTTTTTTGGTATTCCATGTAATCGAAAGATCTCTTTCATGAATATTTGGACAAGATCTTGGGCAGATGGTAATTTTTTTAGAGGTATAAAATGTGCTATCTTGGAGAATCTATCTACAACTATATTATACCCATTCGAACTGGTTCCACAATGAAATCTACGGCTAAATGGGTCCATGGAGCATTAGGAATTGGGAGTGGCTGTAGCAACCCAGGAGGAGATTTGTGGGATGTTTTGGAAACAGCACATATTTGACATGCCCCTACACAGTCTTTAATGTTGCTTCTAAGGGTAGGCCACCAAAACGTCCTGGAGATAGCAGAGAGAGTTTTATGTATTCCAGGATGACCTGCTGTCAGATTATCATGAAATAACCCAAGTACTTTGTAGCGGATGGCCATGAGCTGCCCTGGGACTTACATTATGTTTAACCTGTATTCGTCTATTTGCTAAATGTCTATGCAGTAAGGGAATGTATTCGTGTAAAATAGCTAAGTTCTATGTGTAAAATGTATTGGATTCGTCTGAATGTAAGGTAGTTTCATTCCCTTAGTTTGTTCGAATGAAACTACCGAACAGTCAGACCTCCCTGTGTGAAGTGTGCCTTCAATTACCCGTTGCAACATTGTTGCGAATGGGTAATTGACAAGCTGTGTAGCAATCCTTTGTTCTCAGGGGTGGATGCCATTCGAAAAACGAACACGTGGCGGCGGCCATCTTAACCTCCCGAACAGCGGTGTTTTGCCGTTGAGTGTCTGGAACTAAAAACGGACACTCGATTAGGCGAACACCGCTGAGACCTCCATCAGCCCGGTCCGTTTGGTTCCAAACTACCGAACGGCCCCTCGTTCGGTAGGTATAATCAACCGAACGAGGGGATTCAGGCGAACCCTCCCAAGCCTCTATAGCTGGAGGCTTTCAGGTACTGCATTCGCCTTTTCCAGGACCGACCGCAGGGCCCCATCGCATGGAGCCCAATTCGGCTAGTTCATCCAGCACGGTTGGTCATTTTATTCCCTCCAGGAAATTCCCGAACCCCTGGTCCGATCTGGGTGATTTTTGGATATGTTGTTCACCCAGATCAGGGCTACCAGGGGATGTATAATTTAAAGGGGTACCCCTAGGTTTAGGGGTACATCCAGAAACGGGGGGAATTGCTGTACTGGATAAGGGGATTATGATGCCGGCTGAGGGGAGGAGATGTGTGGGAGGTTACCGGGACAGGATTGGCTACTGTATTAATGAATGGAAATCCCTCCCTTGCATGGGAGCATGCTATATAAGGCACTGTGGAATAAAGGTTGTCAGTTCTGCTCCTGAAACTGTGTGTCGTCCAGTTATTGGGATTGCTGTTGGGATACTGCTGTGTTATTTTGCCTGCTGGAAACCTTGCCTGTGGATTTACAATGTACTTGTTCCTGAGCCTCACTTGGATTATAAGCGGAGATAACCTGGGGAATATTGTATCTCCGCTACATACTATTTTCCTCAATGATGGTGAGACGTACAGTTTGTCCGGAGGTTTCTCCAAGGGTGCCTGAGTTTGATCTGCTATTATGGCACAGAAAAGTGGAGAAGACACTTCGGAAACCGTAGTAGCAATAAGACATTCTGGAGGTACGATTGGGAATACCTCTTGTTTAGGAATCTCATCTGTCTCAAACTGTCTAAACAGCACATCTGCCTTGGTGTTCTTGGTACCGGGCCTGTAAATAATGACAAAATTAAATCGGGAGAGGAATAATGACCATCTAGCCTGTCGGGAGGACATTCTCTTAGCATCCCCAATATAAGCCAAGTTCTTGTGATCGGTGAAAAGTGGCTCTTTGGAACCTTCTAAGAGATGTCTCCATTATTTAAGGGCAAGTACAATGGCCAGTAGTTCCCTATTCTCAATGTCATAATTTTTCTCTGCAGGAGTTAGTTTACGAGAGGAAAACCTACAGGGATGTAAAGGACTTTCTCTTTGAGACAGAATGGCTCCTACTCCCGTTTCTGACGCATCTAATTCTAAAATAAAAGGTTTGGTCGGGTCGGGGTGTGTCAGGACGGGTGCTAAAGCAAATAAAGATTTTAATTTCTCAAATGCTTCCTTTGCTTCCTTGGACCATGAATTGCAATTTGCTCCTTTTTTGGTAAGATTGGTAATAGGAGCGATTACCGATGAGAAACCCTTAATGAATTTGCGGTAATAATTAACAAATCCTATAAATGCTGTGTAGCTTTAAGACCTTTAGGTAACGGCCATTGCAATACTGCCTCCAGTTTGCGTGGATCCATTTTGAAACCAGAAGGTTATATAACATATCCAAGGAACTGTATTTCAGTCTGCTCAAATTGGCATTTTTCAAGCTTACAATATAAGCCGTTCTCTAACAAGGTCTTTAATACGATTCTCACATGTTCGTGATGTGTTTCTAGGTCTGGGGAATAGATAACAATGTCATCTAGATACACTAGTAGGAACATGTGGAGGTATTCTCTAAGGACATCATTTATAAAATCCTGAAATACCGCTGGGGCGTTGCACAAGTAAAATGGCATAACCAGGTATTCATAATGTCCCATTCTCGTATTAAACGCTGTCATCCACTCATGTCCTTCCTTAATTCTAACTAGGTTGTATGCACGTCTTAGGTCAAGTTTAGTGAATACTCGGGCACCTTTCAACCTGTCAAATAGCTCAGAAAAAGGGGAATGGGGTAGGCGTTTTTAATTGTTATTTTATTCAGACCCCTATAATCAATGCAGGGGCGTAGGTCTCCTTCTTTTTTGGAGACGAAGAAGAACCCAGCCCCAGCAGGTGAAGAGGATCTTCGTATGTGACCCTTTCTTAGAGCATCTTTAATGTACTCTTTTAAGCAGAGAGTTTCTTGAGGAGACAGTGCATAAACTCCTCCTTTAGGAGGCATAGTGCCTGGTAACAAATTTATGGCACAGTCATAGGGTCTATGCGGTGGTAATGTCTCAGACTGAACCTTGCTGAATACTTCCTTTAAATCCAAATACTGCGGTAGGATTTTTGTGGTTAAGGGAGGCGCTATAGGCACATTGATGGTACCAACTCGTTGTGGCATTTGTTGTAAACAATGATGAAGAATATTGCATATTCTATGTTTCTATTGATTATATATATGGATGTGTGGATTGACATAAGTAACAGATGGTATCAATAAGTCACAAGGCTTTCTTTGTCCAAGAGCTCTGGAATGTGGATTTGGGGTTTTTGTCCTTATATGGCTAGAGTTAAACGCTGACGTTAGTATGGGCACATCTATATAGTAACAGAGGGACACAAGGTCGCTCTCTCTTGGCTCTGGGCTCTCTCCTGGGCTCTCTCTCTCGATGTAAAGATGTAAGGATGTAAAGAAGTCCAGCAATTACCATCTGCTGTTGAATGTCCATTATCCTGTAACATCATTTGTTGTTTTATTATGTATCCATAACTAAGAATAAACCTGAAGAAACCGTAAGTCAGATTGCGTATTAGTACTTTTCATAATATAGACATATATTATTGTGGCGTGCATTTGGCCCAAGACTATATATACAAAAGATGTATATATATAGCAATCAACTGAAGACAAGAAGAAATTAAGAAGATTTAACAGTGACGATCGATCCAAACAAGATTTTACATTGGCCAGCCAGCCAGTCTTCTGTTCAAGTTTTGTTCCCACTTCAAGGAGGGATAGAGAAGAATCGAGTTACAAAGCTATTTTGGAACTGGGAAAACAAACTTGAAGAGAAAAAAAGAACCGTGTTAAAAGATGTGTTAAGAGCTGTGTGTGTTTATCAGAAGACAAAGATTTTCAAATCACAAGACTATTTTCTACAACTGGCACAAAAAGCACAAGATACAATTCTTGAACCAAGCACGTGGCAGAGATTGGCAAGCGTCCAGATCCAAGTCCAGAACTGCGCAGCTGTGTGGATAAAGCAACGAAATAGACAGAAATAACTGATCTGGTAAAGTGGGACAGATCCATGTGGCAGTAAATTAGGAAAGAATTCCTTTAGACAACTGGACATCAACTGTTGGAAAGAGATTTTTCATCTGATCTGCAAACTGTGATGGAAGATTCTACAGAGTTAATTCGATACAAAAGATTAACAGACTTAAAAAGAAATAAAAGATTGACACTAACATGAATATCAATTCCTAAATATTAACGAAGAAGAAAAGTTATTTAACAGTTATGAGTGTATTAATACCAAAAGAGAGTACTTATAAATGTGTATAAAAGGATAGTATTATGAAGAGAACTATTACATTATGACTTATACACAGAATGAGAAGTATGAGAAGTAGATAAAATATGAAGTTGATAAAATAAGGATCATGGTTACTTAATACTACAAAGATTGAGTGCAATAGTATTTCATAGATTCACTAGAATAAATAATTTGTTTATATCGAGGTGAAGTAAAACAAACAATGGTAACATAAGGAAGAAATCTAAGGAAGGATAATTTATATTGATTAATATTAAGTAATGGTATATATTAAGAATGCCTTGGATATAAGAGTTCAGAAATCCAAGAGGAATTGAATTGAATTTAGTACACAATTATATTTGACCTAAGTCTATAAAGGTATGGACTAGGGAGAATAGGTTTCTGGATATGACGGTATCCAATGAATACGTTGTTTTAAGTGTTTTATGATTTCCCTGAGTTTGTTAGACACAGACTAGGAATAAGTTTCTGGGCAGTATGACCCCAAGTTTATTTTAGTTTCTTTTAATTTAGTCAGTTGAAGTGTACTAAGGAATACGGATTGGTCAGAACAAATGTTAAGGTAACATTAAGACAATCCTACTTTTATGTTGAGATGTATTACATTAATAAGTCATCAGAATGCTAATGAAGAGAGTGATGATAATGAATTTAAATTATTCTTTCCAAGTTCTTTTAAAGTAAACCTTTCTCCGATTGAATGTAAAGTTTGTTACTACAAGGTGGAATTTTAGTCAAAATTATAATTATGTAAACAAAAACAAATCTATGATAAAAAGATTTCTGGGTGGAGAATTTCTAGGACAATAAGTATTGTCAACAACATGAACATTATTTGAAGAATTATTATAGAACTTTATGGTTGATAACACATCCTTTGAATGAGTCTTATAAGTAGTGTTGATATATTTCAGTTAGTGAGAGCCTACTGAATAAACAAATTAAATACTATGATTGTAAAGTACTGATCCAATTATCACTAGGTGGTATTAATGGTATAGGAATGTAATTCATGAATACAAATGACCTAAAGATTTTAAGGTTGCTAGAAACCATATGATTAATGGAAATATAATTGGACAGGATATTATAGTAATACATGTATTAGTACTTAAGTAATATCAGGTATTGAGAATGAAAATACTATGCTATATGTGTCTGTAGGAATATGATAGTGATACACAGTTATTATTTAGAAAGTTACGATCTTGATTTTGTTATCTACAAAGACATAACTGTACCTGAGCAGGTAGATCTTTCTGATTGCCTTATTGTTTATTGGATCAACACTTGTAAATATTTTATTTTATTAATTTATTATTGTTATATGTATATATTATGTTCAAGTAGTTATGATGTAACATGGATATGGATATCAATACATAGCTGAAACAGAGGGAGTTTTGAAGTAAAGTAAGCAGTATGAGGGATAGAAACTCGACCTTCTAAGAACTCTCATATAATACAAAGTTGTGACTACATCTTGTTCTATGCTCAATGACTGTGATACGAGTGATGTATGAATGGACAAGTTAGTGACATTGTGTTATGGTTTTAAGACAAACCATAAACAAAGGGAATATAGAATATTGCATATTCTATGTTTCTATTGATTATATATATGGATGTGTGGATTGACATAAGTAACAGATGGTATCAATAAGTCACAAGGCTTTCTTTGTCCGAGAGCTCTGGAATGTGGATTTGGGTTTTTTGTCCTTATATGGCTAGAGTTAAACGCTGACGTTAGTATGGGCACATCTATATGGTAACAGAGGGACACAAGGTCGCTCTCTCTTGGCTCTCTTGGCTCTGGGCTCTCTCCTGGGCTCTCTCTGGCTCTCTCTCTCTCGATGTAAAGATGTAAGGATGTAAAGAAGTCCAGCAATTACCATCTGCAGTTGAATGTCTATTATCCTGTAACATTATTTGTTGTTTTATTATGTATCTGTAACTAAGAATAAACCTGGAGAAACCGTAAGTCAGATTGCGTATTAGTACTTTTCAATAATATAGACATATATTATTGTTGCGAGCATTTGGCCCAAGTCTATATATACAAAAGACGTGTATATATATATATATATATATATATATATATATATATATATATAGCAATCAACTGAAGACAAGAAGAAATTAAGAAGATTTAACAGTGACGATCGATCCAAACAAGATTTTACAAATGACCACTGTAACTCTCTCCCCAACTCACAATCTCTCCTTCAACCCAATCTAAACATAGATTGTGTTTCTGGAGCCAAGGAAAACCGAGTATTATAGAACATGTAGGGGAAGATATGACTTGAAAAATCATCTCTTCTGAATGTAAGATGCAATCATCTCTTCTGAATGTAAGATGCCTACTGAGACAGTGATCAGCAGGGTTTCGTGAGTGATGAGAGGCTGGATAAGAGGTCTCCCATCGATAGCCTCTACTGCTATGGGTCTATCTTTCTGCCTTAAAGGCATGAGATGTTTGGCAGAGAATTCCTTATCAAGAAAATTCTCCGCTGCCCCAGAGTCAATCATGGCCTCACACTGAACAGTAGTTCTCTTACAAGACAGAGTGATCTTTATAAGGAAGCGGTTCTTAGTCAATTTAGGGGACATATACATCACACCTAAGGTCGGTCCTTGAACGTGCCTTAGGTGCGCGAGTTTTCCGGCCGAGCCGGACATGCAAGCCATAGATGTCCCCTCTTCCACAATATAGACACAACCCCTCATTGCGTCTGTATTGTCTTTCTGCCTCAGTGAGTTTAGCAATGCCCAATTGCATGGGTTCAACCTCTGAAGGTGGCGCAGGATTGACAATCACTGGGTTAGAGAAACGAGGAGCTATAGACAAGTTGGTACGTATAGTATACTGTTTACTTTTCTCCCTTTCCCTGAGTTTGTTGTCAATATCAATCATATATGCAATATACTCGTTAAGATTTACCGGAAGGTCTCTGGCTGCGGTCTCATCCTGTATATTTTCAGCCAACCCTTCAGCAAAAGCAGCCACCAGAAAACTGTTAGTCCAGTCCACCTCAGATGCTAGTGTCCTGAACTCTATGGTGTAATCGGCTACAGAGCGGATGCCTTACTTTATTCTCATTAAGGCTTTAGCAGTATTTTTCTCTCTCCCCTTAGGCTCAAAGGTAGCTTTAAAAGCCGTTAAGAATACATTATAATCCCAAGCAACTGGATTCCCACTTTCCCATAAGGGATTAGCCCAGGTTAAAGCCTTCCCTGTTAATTGGTTCATAAGATAGACAATTTTTGGAAGGAACCGGGGAAAGCTTCGAAATGATATTGAATCTGGTTTAGAAAACCTCTGAAATCCTTAGAATCACCTCCGAAACGAGGAGGAGGTGAAAGGGTTATGTATGGAGGTTTATAAACCACAGGTGCAGGTACAAGTGACGGAGCTACAGGTGGTACCGGGGGTAAAACCGTTCTAACCTGTGGTCCATATCCTCCACCCTGCCCTCACAGGCTTTCATATGTTTACATAGTTCCGCAGGATCCATGGCCCTGTCGTAATGTCACGACTGCTAGTGTGGTCCAACACGCAGAAACTATGTAAACATATACATAGAAAATGAAAATGAAATAAAAGGACAGAACGTTAACCGGTCCTTAGAATGGCCGGACTAATACATAGAGACAGAGAATGGTCAAAGGGAAAGCCGAGGTCAAGGAAGCCAGAAATACACAAATACCGTTTAACCCCTTAAGGACACATGACATGTATGACATGTCATGATTCCCTTTTATTCCAGGAGTTTGGTCCTTAAGGGGTTAAACAAGCCAAGTCAGGGAAACCAGAAATCGGATAAACAAGGAATAGCCAAGGTCAAAATACCAGAATATCAGAATCACAAGGATAAACGCACTCTCAGGAACCAGGAACAGGAAATCACAACAGGGCAAGGTACTGGGGTGAATCAGGGATTTATATATCTCTCTCTAGGCTCTGATTGGTCAGAGGGTGACCTCTGACCCCAGAATGTGCGCGTGTGTTGACGTCGTGACGTCACACGCACGTTTGTATAATTATGGGGGGGCAGAGCCATCAATGGACGCGACCGCATGGTCGATGCCATCTTGGATTCGCCGGCACAGCGTGGAGGAGCGGTTCCCAGCTCACCGCCGAGCAGGTAAGCTCAGCAATGTGGCGCGGTCGTGCCGGTCGGGCACAGACACGCATTGCGGCAAGCCGGGACAAATATTCATCTAGACCAATTTCTTTTAGTTTGATGACTAACCTATTGTGAGGAACCGTATCAAATGCCTTGGCAAAATCCCAGTAGATCACACCAACTGCAACACCCTGATCTATACTTCTACTTACTTCTTCGTAGAATGCAATTAGGTTAGTT